AGGACTGTGGTTGAGCAACGGGGCAGGGTCTCTTCACGCGTGGACACACTTCAGTCCTCTCCCTTTGGGAGTCCACGCTCTTCCCTGGTGTGTTCAACACTGCTGCCACCACCACTCCACGTCTTAAGAGTCTCTCTGCTCGATACCAATACCCTTGTGACATTGGGCAGCTTCTTCAGAGGCTCTGCTTGTTCTCTTGTTCAAAAAGCAAGAGGAATAAGCGCAATGGGGGCACATTATTAAAAAAATTCTAGAAAGTTCTCTGAGCCATTACTGCTGATACATTATTTGCTTAGTGGCAGTTAATTACTGCAGGGCTGGCTGATGCCAAGAGGCCGGGTTTTTGTCTTAATGACAGACAGGTTGGACTGCTATGTCTGTCTGTCTGCCCATGGTCAGTCCCCTTCCCACACTTCACTAAGCTCCCTGCCATGAGCACAGGTCTGCCCTGGACGTTGCCGTAAAGAACCATCCCACACTTCAGTGGCTCCTTTTCTGACTGAGTCAGGACCAAGCGAAGTGAATGGCAGCCACAATCGTGCAGCCCACTGAATTTCTTTGTCATTTAGGAGGCTCAAGCAAGTCTGCTGGCCCACTTTAATGAGTCACTGGTGGGAAATCACACGAGCAGTGAAAGATCCCTGTGCTGTCGCTAGGTGGGGGCCAGATGGCGAAGAGAGCCTCTGTTCCAGTTCTTTTCAGTTCCATATTTATTTATTTATTTTTGTGTCATACTATTGTTTGAACTAAGCCTTGCACTGTCCTGTTTGCTTCAGTCAGGGTCTCACTTTTATGCCCAGGTCCTCCTACTTAGGTTTCCAGGACAGCTGGGATGACAGACATGTTACCACCCCAGCTTTTATTGGTTGAGACGGGGTTTTGCAGTTTTGCCAGGCCGGCCTCAAACCTCGATTCTCCCTATCTCCATCTCTTGAGTAGCTAGGATTACAGGTATGAGGCACTGCACATGGCCCTCTGGTCTCAACTTTGAGCATTGACTCAAACTTTCTCTCCAACTTTGGTGTATTTTGAACATCTGCCTTCACTGTCATCATAACGTTCATTCTAACCCTTATGGCTTCCTCAGGCAATGCTTCTGAGGGAAACCTAAGTCCTAATTTGTAGCAATACAAGGAAACACAAATCACAGAAATCATCAACTGAAACTGTGTCATCTTGAAATAATGAGCCTAAGGTAAATTATTGGCCAGCTTGTGGGAACTTGATCAGAACTGGAAGGCTACAGAAGGCACACGCTGAGTAAAGATGTCAATCGTGTTTACCAGTTGGGATGCTTGGAGCCAGGAACAGAGTGGCTGAACAAAGTCTGAATGATGAAGCGAGGCGTGCTTGATCATGACATTAGGGATGCATAATGCTTCTAGGAGAAGAACTGGCACACTGACTGTAGCTGATTATTCTGCTATGAAAAAAGTGCGAATGGGCCTGCAGCATATTGGGTGGTGAATCCTGAGGTTAGCTCAGATTGGCCTTTGATTCGATCAAAGGACACTCAGTTCATTTCTGCTAATGTTGAGATGAATCATACTTGGCAAGAGGTCACCTTGGCATAATCAATCATGTGAATTCATGGGGTAAATTCAGTGTGGAAATGGTGAAGGAATTGTTTATCAATAAGAAGATGGTTAAGAGCTAGTGTTACTTCATAGGAAATTGTGCAATGGCTCAAAGTGCTCTAAGAAGGGCACATTTAGAATTGGACACTTGTTCTGGTTAATAGAATAGAGTGGATGGAGAAACTGGAAGTTCTAAAGATAAATGCCTATGTTCATATTGATGAGAGGTTGGGTATAGGATGGGGATTCATGTAGAATCAGCTAGTGGAGCAATTGTAAACTGGAGGCTAGAGGAAGTCAGTGGATAGATAGATTCTTTAATGAATAACTTTATTACATTGGTGACTGGTTGAAGGAGTCCATATGGGCCCATAATATTGGGCCTTTTTGAAGTTGTATGTATCTGAGTGTAAGAAAAACTTACAAGGGTTATAAATGCTATAGCTAGTAGGATTGAAAAGATTAATATAAGAGGACTGATTATGAGTGTTTATATTAAGAAGAGGAATGGAACCTCCAACAATAAGGTTGTAAGTCTTATGCAATTATTGGGCTCTGCCACTTCATCAAGTCCTGTTCTTGGACGGGGCATGGGGTACCACTAGGTTAACACTGTTCATCTGTTGAGTTGCAGACTCTTTATGAAGTAGGCCTCATTTCTCTCCTCCTTTTGCACTGCGAGAAATTGGAAATAGATAGAAACCGACCTGGAGTACTCCTGTGTGAACTCAGATCATGTAGGACTTTCAATCACTGAACAAACAAACCTCTAATAGCAGTTAATTGGATGTCCTGATCCACATCAAGGTTACAAGCTCTGTTGTCAATACGGATTAGTAACTTGGTCCCTTGTTCAATTTTTGGATCAACTGATGATCAAATTGCTTTGACTTGAGAGGTTGTTTTGTACTCCAAGGTTACCCCAAGCAAAAATTTTAAACCCATACTGGGGGATAAGGTTATTAACGTGGAGAGGCAATTTCAGCTTCATAGGTTTTCTTATTTGTGGATCCTTGCCTCTTTACGGAGGCCAATTTCCTTGGTTAAAAGTAAGAGCTAGGTAAACCCTCATTAAGCCATTCATACAAGTCCCTATCTAAGGAACAAATGATTACCTTTGCACAGTCAGGATGTCACAGCCATTCAACATATGTCATATGTTGATATGATGTATACATTCATCCAATCATTTAGAGGTGCTAGGGCTAGAACCCAGAGCCTTGCACGTTAGGCAAGTGTAACTACCACTGAGCTACATCCCAGACTGATATTGATGTTTTAACTTTTCTCCTACAGTGATAGCAGCAGAAAGATAGCTTGTGATTTCCACAATAGTCAACAGACAAGCTGCTTAGTTTCTTCTCCCTTTCAAAGATCTGATCACTCTTAGAAGCAGGCAGAGAATCCCTTGCCAAATATCATGACCCTGCAGAAAATGGGCAACAGAAAACTATTTTTCCATCAGTAAATGCTCCCCTTTTTTAACAGAGATAAAATATTTCTCCTGGGTGCAAATTATACCTTATAGACTCACAATTTTGTATTTCAATGAGAGCAAGGAACGAATACTAAAACTAGATATTTGAAATTCTATTTTATCAGCTAAATTTTCTGGGTTTCTCTCCAAAACTGAGAAGTTCTTCAGTTGCTTCTAATGATTTTATGTGTTTGGAACTGGGTAGAAACTCTCATTTCATTTATTAGCAACACTTCTCTTAGACACTACATAAAAAAGGAGAAAAGATTTGATGATCTCATGTACCAGAAGCAAGCACTGCCCATCACTTTATCTTAAAAGGCTGCCAAGAATATCAAAGAGGCAACTCCTGTACCACGTAAGGGACTGATGTCAGGTACGGGACTGGTCACCCATGACCCACAGACCAAATCTGGCTTAGGAGAGGTTTTATCCTTTGAAATGGTTGGGGGGTGGGGTGCGTGAAAAAAATGACATTGTGATGTGCAAATTCTAGGAAACTTAAATTTCAGTGTTTATAAATAAGGTAACTGGAACACGGCTTTTCTCACTTGCTGGTTTTTCATCATCCATGGCTGCTTTTGTGCTATTTGCAGTTTAAAAGCTCCTAAAAGCCAAAAATATTTACTTTTGGTTCTGCACTGAAAAAGCTTTCCAAGTCCTAGGGTAAGCAATTTTTACAGTCCCTTCAACTCAAAGGCTCTAGGAAATTTACTTCCTTAGGTGAGCAAGAATCCTTAATCAAAACAATATAGGGGACACACTTTAGCCTGATGACATCATGATCCCCAAAGAACTGTCTTGGGTTGTTAACATTTGCCACAGAAATACAGACTACTACTCACTGACTTGCATCTGAACTTCCAAGATATCAACTGATTTTTAAAACAAGGCTCTTGGTTCCAGAAAGCAGTATTGATGAACTTTAGTAGTTCTAGTCCCTTAACGGGCTTATTAGACCGTCTGAAAAATTATCAATTACAGTGAAAATAATACAATAAAAACTCTACTAGGAATTCAGAGTTGATGTCATAAAATATTTATTAAAAAGTAAAATGACTTGCCCCTGCCTTTGGCTATTAGACAAAGATTGAGTATCTTTGTTGATACCAATTGCCAAAAAGGCTTAACATTACTCAGTTATGAGGTGACAGACAGAAAAAAAGATAGCCAGCTATAGATACAAATGTGCAGGAGCCATACTTTACAATGATTTAATTACTAATCTTGGTTTGCTAGCAGTTGGAAATTTACTTACACATAAACACCTTTATAAGGAAACAATACACAAATTCACTTGAATTTAGTAATTCAAAAGATTGGCAATTAATACAGTGCTTGTTGAGGCAAGAACAAGGAAAGCAGTATCTCATTGAAAAGCTTTTCTCTTGATTTAACAGTCCCCATTGCTTGAAAATGAGACTTATGATTTGCAATTCATGTCTGAAGTTTAAATTTCATCCCAAGTCTTGGAATAGGAGCTATACTAAGTCTCTTTGTAACCACTTCTTTGAATTTTTGTAAACTAGAACAAGAAAATGTTTTATCAGATCTAGGTAGAAATACTGATCTTTATTCCTATCTGTGGTAATTACCTGCCCTCACCACTGTATAGACAAGGGGATCTGAACACCAAACTGAATGAAATGTCAAGCCATAACCCCATGGCCAAATCAAAAGCAACTCAGAGACTAGCAGGTAATATTTTAAAAAAATTACTTCTCAGATGTCACTATAAGGCCAGAAAATTAAAAGATAATATTAAGAAGTGAATGAATGATTTTATTACTACCCATCCTCTACTTTAAGATTCAAACAATTCCAGAACTTTGGGATTTTTAAGTAATTATACAATTTTTCTCAGTCTCTTTTTTAACATAGAAAATCACTTTGTAATAAGATCTCTACACAAGGTAAGCAAAAAAAAAAAAAAGCACAAAATAGGTCAAAAGCACAAAAATGGACAAAATATGTATCTTTTTACAATGAAATTAAGATGTACTGTGGAGCACTGAGATTGACGACTGATCTCATAGAGCTCAATCTGCTCTCTTTTTCTAAAATTGTATTATACACGTCTTCCCTTCAACCTCAGATACTTACTTAAAAAAACCATCCCTGGTAAAAGGGAGCTCATAGGCATTCTGGTCTTATGCAGTTACAAACAAAAACAAAATAGTATAATGACATAATAAAATCCCTTAATCTATCAGTTTATAAAATTCTTTTGCTAACCACACCTCAAGGGCACTTGGGGTTCAAGTGTTTGTCACATTGTCACTAACAGCACAGGTGGCAGTATCACAGATGTGTTTTTCTATCATTAACAGTGATTCCCTGGGAATCACATACACAGAAATCCTGATTCCGAGTGGTCTTCACGCGGTTTAGGGCAGATGAAGCCATCCAGCAGCCTAGTGCCAGAAACACCTGCCACCTCCATAGACTTCCACCTCAAGAATCCGTTTTGGTCTTCCTCAGACTTACGAAGGACCCCTGGCGGTGACCTGTGAGCTATACGGTCACCGCAGGGTACATCTGTTCACTGTTGGTGTGAGGGAAGGAAGGCTGAACCTGCCTAAAGCCAGGCTGTAGGCCGTCCATGAAAGTGGGCACAGGTGTCACGGGCACAGAGTCGTGCTGTACTGTGTAGCCCACATATGGGGGTGCAGGTACTGTCCCTGATGTGGCAGGATCTGGGTGCCTGCTGGCAATTCAGCACAGAGAAATTCGTGGGCATGTTGACGTACACATTGTTCATGGTCCCCTCAGGCAAGCAGCAGTTGGTCTGTGAGCGTGTAGGGGGTGCCCGGGCCCCTGAGTTGGCACTGGAGCTGGAACTGGCAGCAGTGCTGGACTGGCGAGAGGATGACCCCCGGGAAGTGCTGGCACTGGGGATCATGGGGATGGTCTCCATCAGGCGGCTGCCCCCTGGGGCCCGGCTCTGCTGGGGCTCCTGCTTGGGCCGAAGACATCTGCAGCAACAGGCCGCCACCAGGGACCCCAAGATGATGAAAGCCACGAACACTGACCCGACGATGAGGAACGGCACATAGATGGGGACTGCAGAAAAGGACAGAAATACAACGTTACTATTTGCTGTAAGAATGTCTAAAAACTGGAGACTGGGGATGAAAGGGACCAATGTGACAGTGATATCAGAATCAAAGGACCTCGAGGGCTGGGTTGCTCACGTTAGCAGTGACAGCTGTGCTGACTCAGCCAGGTGCTCAGGAAAGGTGCCCAGAGCCCTGAGACATGGCAGATTGGCCCAAAAGCTAAACTGTTGATATTCACAGTTAGATTCCCAACTGCACTGACTCAGACTGACATCCAGCTGGCAAAATATGGGTGTTATGTGAGGTCTCAATGATTCCAGCCATGTCCTCTGTGCCCAGAGGACAGCTGTTGGGTCTACGTAGAATGGTAAGTTCAAATTAAGTCTTTCTTTTTTTTTCCATTTCTTGAAAACTTTTGTTTTTTTTCATAGACAGAGAAAACACCAATTGGTCAGACTTTGAGCCACTATGATTCCAAAAAGCATTCAAGGCGTAAGATTAAAAAAACCCAAAAACCTCCAGAAATCTCAAAGAAGTTGTCACAGAAGTTGAGAGTACAGTAGTGGTTTCCAGAGAGGAACAGGGATGCAAGGATAGGAAGGGCCTGGTGAATGGGGACAAAGTTACAGAAAGACAGGAGGAATCTATCTGGTGTCCTCTGCCATAGGAAGGGTGAGTACCGTTAAAGGTGATGCGCACATATCCCAAATAACCAGGAGAAAGGGTGCTGAACATTCACTGCACAAGAATGGTAAAATTTAAGGTAAGAGATGCTAATTAACCCAACCGACCACTAATCTGTTAATTACACGAGTCAAACATACTCTATAAATATGTGCAATTACTATGCGTCCTTAAAAAATAAATAAGCAAAAATTTCCACAAATCTTGTGTAGCTGAAGTGATGGTCCCTGGGCAGCGGGGGAGGGGGGAAGAGGGAGGGGCTGGGGGGTACTGAGTATGAAAGGGGAGGTAGATGGTGAGATCCCGAGAGCCAGTGTCTGGAGGAAAGAGGCGTGTTATGCTGAGCGCCCTGAAGGTGGGCGGGGCAGGCTTGCTGACGGTAGGTAATGCAGTGACGCACTGATAACAGCTTTAGAGGCAATGTCTACACAGCAGAAAACAAGGATCATCCTACTTGGAATGATTTTGTTCTGTTTTGGTTTTTGGTGATACTAAGATTTGATCTCAGGGCCTCAAACTTACCAGGCAAACCTCTACCGCATGAGCCCCACTCCCAGCCCCATGATCACCCTAGTTAGCAAGCAAGGCTTACTCTGAAAAACAAAACCATAAAACATAAAAATAAAAACCTCTTTCTAACAGCAGTAGTGAGCTCCACTTTAAGATTTACTTTAAAAAAAATCTTTTGGAGCCACGGGGTGACAAATACAAAACTTTTACAAGCTGACACGCAGAAGCCTCTGAGCCACACTTCTGTGGACCCCCCTGTTCAAGAACCTGCTGTGTCTTCTGGTGTGCTCCTGCCTTTTTTTTAGGGCAGGGGATTGAACTCTGGGCCTCAAACAGGCTAACAAGTGCTGTACACTGAGCCACACTCCAGCCCTGAGTGTTTAACTGGGAACACAAGAGAACAGGACGCCCTGAGTCTTCCTGGCCACGCAAGGACTTGAGATGAAGCAGTGTTTTCAGGAGCGCACATCTCTGAGGTCAGATCTGCAAACATCCTTGACTGTTGCTGTTCCTGAACTTGGTGTTTTAGAAAACAGTATCCCGTGGAATCACGGAGAAATAATGAATCACAGGCTCACAGTAGAAGCTCTCCCTAGCTTCACTGCTGAAGACAGACAGTTCTATACAGTGTGTCCCTCCAGCTTGCAGGACTCTTGTCAGAGTGTTAGCATGGCTGGTCCAGCAATAGTACTGCTTAATTACACTGTCACTGCAGGCCAACTTTGGAGGACACCACAATTTCCTATACACGCTATAAATAGTTCGTTCTCTATGTTAGATACCAGCCCCAAATACATTATCAAGAAGTGAACAAATAATAACAGAGAAAAATTTCCTTACCTCCAACACTACAGCAAAAACTAGCTGAAACTAGTCTCCATCTACATAACGGGTTTTGGGAGAATAACTGCTCTCCTTCCAGGATTTTTAATTAGAAGTATAAATAACTACACAAGGGGAGGGAATGCAGTACTGCTCTAAGCCTCTCTGGCAGGCTTAATTAGGCAAGTTGTCTTTCACCACAGAAGTCACAGGAGTTTCAAGGTAAAGAAGGATGAAGTAGAATGAAGAAGCCACCATGGACAAACATAAGCTGCATGAGAGGTGTGCAGCCGACTGGCCTGTCCACAGCCATCCCAACTTTTTAGAAGACCATTGACAAGCTTGACTTAACAGACACTTTTACGGTAGCAGTCAGGCTTTGGCTCAGTCCAGGCTTTATTCCAAGGCCACACACTCTGCAAGGCTGAGCCTGCATTTTAAGATGGCACGTTTTCTAGAATTATCCTCAGTTTCTGCTCTTAAGATTAAGACAGCAGAACAATAGGCATGGTGTACTAATAACATCCTTGACTCCCAAGAAAATGGCACTGAAAAGAGATGTGTTTTACCAGGTGGGGAGGAGGTGGGGAGACAGCTCTATAAACTGCAAACTACCAGCACCAATGCTCAGGCAACTCCCACACCTGGCTCAGGGTACCTAGAAAAATCATCTTGTCAACGCAAGGCTGCAGAAAAAGGAGGAGCCACCTCTCTGGAACATGCTTACCTTCTGTCTTCTACCCCTCCACCACCAGACCACACACCCAGGGCTATGGGTGAAGATCCTCCCCAGCAGCACTCCGCAGGCTCTGAAGAGTGGGAGGAAAAAACAGTCTACCAACTTCTTTCACGGGTTTATTTTCCAACTCTGACTTTGGCAATTAAAAAAAAATAAAAAATTTAAAAAGCCACAAAAAGCAAGATGGGACACAGCTCCACTGTCACATCTATTAAGTGCCACGTGGTAAGAACAGGCCGGAACCCAAGAGGCCTGGGCAGGGGTCTCACAAAGTGCATCACTCACTGCCTGCTTTCTGATGAGCCTTCAAGAAAGTGCCCTTGCCCTGGCCAGGGAGGGGACACACCCTCCTCACCATTTCCTCAGTTTCCCCAAGATATTAAGCCCTTTGGCGACAGACGACTAAGTGGGAGTATGGGTGCCAATAACCCTGGACAGAAGAAATTTGGGAGCTGCCGTAGGTGGGATTTTACTTGGAAAATCCAAGCCATGCCTTGCCACTCTTTATCTGCCAGGGGAAACTGAGGCCCAGGGCAGTGAACCGATCCTTCACTTTGCGTAAGTTGAGAGGAAAGGAATGCGGGCTCCGTTTCCTGTTCCCGGCCCTTTCCTGAAATCCCAGTGTTCCTTCAGTCCTTTTCCCTCTCCAGGCTCCCAGACCAATGCCGCCCAGGCCAAGCCAGCCGTCCTCCCCTTCCTGGCCCACGGGCCGCCTTACCTGCCGAGCCGTCGGGGCCGTCTTTGTCCGCCCGGCCAGGCTCGCCAGCGCCCTGCTGTCGGTCGTTGTCGCAGCCGCCCTGGTCCAAGCGAGCCTCAGCACTAGCGCAGCAGTAGCGCAAGGCGCAGCTGCCGCAGCAGATGGTGGCGTCGCCGCCGTCGAAGCGCTCGGGCACTGAAAGCCGATGCGCCAGACACCCTGAGCGTCCAGCCAGCCGTGGCAGTACTCGCCGCTGGCCCGCGCCCCCGCCGCCAGCAACGCGGCCAGCAGCAGCCGCAGGAGCGAAGCGGGGTTCCTGCAGGGGGCGGTGGGCGCGCGGCGTCGGCCAACATGGCACCACCCTGGACGCGGGTTCCCAGAAGTTGTGGCCGGCGATCCCCGGACTCCTCGCTGCCTGTCCCTTACAAGGCGCTCTCAGCACCAGCGAGCCCCTCGCCAACGCGGGGCTGCAGGGCCAGGGGCGCTAAGTCATCCCCTTCTTCGCCGGTGGCCCGATCCCCGCAGGGTCTGCCTCCACAGTGGCACTCGCAGTGGAGCTCTTGGGGGTGCAGTCAGAGCACCTTGGGGACTGCCGCGGGGCAATCCCTGGAGGCTTCACCCGCGACGGCGCCGCCCTCGCTCTGCATCCCCGAGGGACACTCGCCAAAGCCGCTGCCCGCTGGGCACACCGCCGCGGACCTGCAGCCAGGTCTCTGCCAGATCGCCTAAGCCTCGGGATCCCGCGCGCGACTGGGGTGCGTCTCCCCGGCTCTATTCGCTTCTCGGGCGGCGCGAAACGGCGAAGAAGGCGGGCGGCGCGCGCAGGGCTCCGGGAAGCAAGTGCAGCGGCCGGCCGCGCTTGGACTCCTCGGGCCCGCGCTCGGTCCGCATGGCTCCGGCCGCGCCAAGCAGGCCGTACTCGGGGCCGCAGCTCCGACGCTCGACTCGGCGAGGCCGACAGTCAGTGGCACCAGCGCATGCCGTCCCGGGAGCGTCCAGGACGCGGACGAGCGTCCCGCGCGCCTCCCGCCGAGGGCAGTCCTGGAAGCGGGTCTAGGCGGTTTCCCCGCTCCCAGCGGCAGCGCGGTCCCACGGGCGCCAGGAGCCCGCGTCCCGCTGCTCTCCTGCACTCGCGGGTGCGCTCTCGAGCGGCGCGCACAGGTGGAGTCTTCCACGGAAGTTGCAGTCCCGGGGCTCCCGGAGCAGGGAGCCACACGGCCGGCTCGCAGCCTCAGCCCAGTTCCTACTCCTCGCTGCGCGTTGCGCCCGGCTCTTAAGGGGCCGGCGGCTCCCAGGCGCGCATGCGCGCGGTGAGGGCCGCTTCCCGCCCCGAACGCCTGGCGAACTCACAGCCCTTCACTTTGGGACAGGTAGATGTGGCGGTGGCAGGCAGCAGCCGGAGAGGGAGGCGCAGGAGAAACCCTGATGTAAAGCATCCAGAAGCAAACAACTCGCGTAATGAAGATCTTTGGTCTTCGACATTCGTCTTGATTCTGCAAACTTCTCAAAGATTATAGTTACTTCCATTTCAGGGATGATGAATGCACTGTGTCACTCCGCTGCCAGCTTCCCTGTGCTGACCGCAGCGTCCCAGCGGTGGAACTCAAGCCAGTGGGGCTCGGATCGGCTCCAGGCTCCATTACAAGACCATGAGCCGAACTCAGCAAGGCATCACCGTTTTGGCCCGTCTCGGTAATCTGTGTCAAGTTATTATTTTTTCTATATTTGGGTGTGGCGATTATCAGATTCCCTCAAAAAGGTGCCTCCGTCCAACATTTGGTCTCGGTGGTTTAGACAGCTGCAGCCAGGAAGAGGGTTCATACACACTAGAGATTTGGCTTTGCTGAGGAGAAATTGATAGCTTATGTTTGAGGCGAAAGAACAGGTGCTGATGCTATTAAAGAGGCAGCGAGGGTTTTGTTAAAAGGAATCTGCCCCTTTCCCACAAGGCCAAGGAGTTGAAGGATCTGAATTCCAGACCCAGCCCTCCAGTTCAGAGTCACCGTGTTCTGCTAGTCTCTGTTGTTCCTCATCTATAAAATGGAGCAAGGATGCGACCATCCTAAAGGCTCTTCTAGGTCCATGACCAGAACACAAAGCAATTTTATTGCTGGTGGAGTGGCTCAAGTGGTAGAGCACCTGCATAGCAAGTGTGAGGCCCTGAGTTCAAACCCCAGGGCCACCAAAAAAAAAAAAAAAAGACAAAACCAATTTTATTCACAGCAAAGACACTTAAGGGAAGCCTCAGACTCATCCCAGCAAAGTCAAGTTAAAGAAAAAATCCAACAACATCTGATTCTTTTCAGTGCAAGTATTGCACTTCATTTCCTTGAAGACAAAAGTTTTTTTTTTATTTTTAGCTACATAAAATTATATATGTGTTAATTTTTCTTTTTGCTTTTTGCAGTACTGGGCATTAAACCATAGCTTTGTGCCTGCTAGGCAAATGTTCTACCACGGAGCTACATTCTACCCTAAATTATATATTTTAAGTGCATCACTCAAATTTTATTAGTGTATATATAATGTTTCCCCGTGGTATTTCCAATCTTGCATATATTGTACCTTGATCGGGTCAACTCCTTCTATCGCTCTTTCTTTTCCCCATGTCCCCATTTTAACAGTTTTTAGTGGGTTTCTTTATACCATCTTCACACATAGACACAATGTACTTCAATACTATTGACACCATCATTCATTTTCCCTCTGTCTCCCACTCATCCCCCAAAATGGTCCCACATTTATGTTCTTGTTATATACACACTATATAAGTATACACACACACATATATACAGTTTCATTCAATTTTCCTGCAACCACAATAATTTCATTCTTCTTTGTGGCTGAATAAAACTCCATTGTGTATATATACACATTATCTTTATCCAGTCATCTGTTGAAGGATGACTTAGGCTGATTCCATAGCCTGGCTTTGTGAATACTGCAATAAACATAGGTGTGGTGTCTATTGTGTGCTGACATATACCCAAGAACTATCACCAGATCTATTTTGTTTTTGAGAATCCTCCATACTGATTTCCCCTAGTGGCTGCGCTGATGTATGTTTCAACAAGTGTATAAGGGTTCTTTTCCCCTCCACATCCTCAGCAAAAATTATTGTTTGTGGAAGCGGGTACTGGACTTTGAACTCAGGGCTTCACCTTTCTAGGCAGATGCTCTACCCTTGAGCCATGCTTCCAGTCCTGCTTGTGTTCTTGACTGGGGTCAGATGAAACCTCAGTGTTTACTTCACATCTCTTTTACACCATAACGCTGAACATTTTTTCATGTATTTATTGGCCATTTGTACTTCTTTGTTGAGAACTGTTTGCCCATCTGTTAATTGAGTTGTTTGTTCTTCTGGTGTTTTTAGAACAAAGATTTTCTACTACTCTGTAGGTTTATCTCTTGATTCTAGAAATTGCTTCCTTTGCTGTACAGAAATTTTTTGATTTGATGCAATCCCATTTGTCAGTTCTTACTCTTATTTCCTGAGCTATTGGGGTCTTGTTCAGGAAGTTGTTGCCCATGCCTATATTTCCTGTAGTAGTTTCAAAGTTTTTAGGTTTTACATTAAAGTCTTTGATCCATTTTGAACTGGGTGAAAGACAGGCATCTAGTTTCAGTCGTTTTTTGCATTCTGTCCCTTCACTAATTCTCAGCTCCTAAACACATGAGACTTTTTTTGGTGGGGGAGGATTGCAGAACTGGGTTTGATTGAACTCAGGAACTCATGCTTGCTAGGCTGGCACTCTACCATTTGAACAGCCACTCCACCAGCCCTTAGTTTCAGTCTTCTACATGTAGATATCCAGTTTCCGCAACATTTGTTTAAGAAGCTGTCTTTCTCCAATGTGTGTCTTTGGCTCCTTTGTCAAAATTCAGATGGCTCTGTGTGGGCTTTCTGAGTCTTCTATTCTACTCCATTCGTCTGCGTGTCTGCTTTTGTGCTATTACATGCAGTTTTTGTATTGTGATACCTCCAGATTGCTCTTTTGCTCAGGATTGCTTTGACTATTTGGAATTTTTTATGTTTCCATATGAATTTTAGGATTGATTTTTCTATCTCTTGTGAAGAATGTCATTGGGATTTTTTATGGGGATGCCACTAAATCTGTAGATTGCTTTTTGGTGGTATAGCCATTTCACAGCATTAATTCTGCTCATCTATGAACATGGGAGGCCTTTCCATCTTCTAGTATCTTTTTTGGTTTCTTTCTTCAAATGTTTATATTTTCATTGTAGAGGACTTTTATTCTTAGTTAAATTTATTCCTAGATACTTTATTTTTGAAGCTACTATGAATGGGATTGTTTTCCTGTTTCTTTCTAAGCCTGTTTTGTGGTGTATAGAAATGCTACTGATTTTTGTATATTGGTTTTGCATCCTACTACCTTGCTAAACATGTTTATGAAATTTTAAGTTTATAGTGAAATCTTTAGAGTCTTTTAAGTATAGTGTCATGTCATCTGCAAATAGGGAAAATTTGACTTTTTCCTTCCGTATTTGATTCCCCTTCATTTCTTCTCTTTCCTTATTGCTCTGGCTGGGAATTCTAGTACTACATTGAATAAGAGTGGGGAGAGTGGACACCTTTTGTTCGACCTGACTGTGGAGGAAATGCTTTTGGTTTTCCAGTTCAGTATGATGCTAGCTGTAGGTTTATATTATAAGTCTTTGTTATGTTGAGGTCAGCCCTATTCCTGTGTCTTCAGAGATTTTTATAGTGAAGGGATGCTGAATTTTGTCAAAGGCTTTTTCTGCATCTATCAAGATGGTCATGTGCTTTTTGTTCTCGATTCTGTTTGCATATTGGATTATATTTTATTTGCATAGTAGAATACCCTTGCATCCCTGTAATGAAACTACTTGATCATAATTATAGAATCTTTTTAATGTGTTGTTGAATGAAATTTTGTGTCTGTGTTCATCAAGGAAATTAGCCTATAGCTTTTCCTTTTTCTTTTGAGTCCTTATCTGGTTTTTGGTATTAGGGTATTTGATAACAGTCCTTCTCTTTGTATTTTTGTAATAGTTGAGGAAAGTGGCGCTAGTTCTTCTTTAAAGGTTTAGTAGAAATCAGCAGTGATCCATCAGTTCTGAAACTTTCTTGTTGGGATATTCTTTATTACTGTTTCAATGTCATTAGCTATAGAGCTGTTTAAATAGTTTTATATCTGTTAAGTTGTTTATGTTCAGTTTTGGTAGCTGAAATGTAGCCATTTCTTTACATTTTCTAGTTTGTTGTGTGTAAGTTTTCAAAATATTCCTAATGATCTTCTGAATTTCATTGATCTCTGTTGTGATATCCCCTTTTCAATCTCTATTTTTATTAATTTGGGTCCTTCCCATCTTCTTTTTAGTTAGTTAAGGTAAAGATTTATTAATAATTGTTTATCTTTTCAAAAAGAACCAAGTTTTTGTTTTCTTGATTCATGGTATTGTTCTTCTGATCCCCATTTTTATTTCCTGCCTTATTCGTCATTCTTCTTTCCAGTTACTGATTTGGGGTTGGCTTGTTCTTTTTTGTTTTTCTAAGAGCTTGGCGGTGCATCTCTAGGTTGTTTATTTAGAATTCTGAATTTTCTAAGTAGGCATCGTGGTGTAAATTTTTTCTCTTAGTAACTGCCTTTGCTGTGTCCTTTTACAGTTTCTGGTAGGTTGTGTTTTCTGTTTTCAGTT